ATGTTGGGTCTGAGCTTTATCAGTGTTTTGCATTCTCCTACCACTTCTCTAACACTGACACACACATTATTATTTAAGGGTTGGATAACTTCTCTAGACATATGGCCTCACAAGCTGTAGACCCACCACGAAGTTGGAGTCAGGCCTAACCCGGCACGTCCAGACCCAGGCATTCTGCTCTCCAATGGTGCCTAGCCGCACACCATCTTTTGTGTAGAGGGAGGCCTGTTTATCAGACCCGCCCATAACTATATACTCGCCCTTAGAGAAGTAACTGACGCAACATGGGTCATAGGTGAGAGTCCTGTCTTTTCCAATCTGAGAGACAAAGAGAAAAGCAGTCATAAAACCAAGAACAAAACAAGTATTTCTCATATTTATTGCTCAGAGGACTGGGCCAACACACATCAAAGTGCCTCAAAGCTTTTTTCTGGTTTAAATAGCCTCTATTGTATTAATGTTCAAAGTGCATTTGCACAACATCACATCAGTTCCTCAACTTTGTGCATCTGTTTCTCCTCACTCTAGAAAAAAGTTGCCTGACAATCCATAGTTATTTTTCTTTCATTGCAAACAATTGCAATGGTGTTCTAATCAAAACAAAGTGTTCACTTAAATAGATAAATAGGCCGATGACAATATATGAGCCTAAGGCAGAATGGCAGAGTAATGAAGACTGCATATTTGTCTATAATTACAGAATTGCCCACAGGGAATTTAGGAGGAAGGGGGGGGCTGGGGGGGGCAGTGCGGGGGCCATTAAAGCATAGCAGGATCACGTCCAATGTGCTGTTATGGTTTCAATAGACCCTGACAGCCTGATTACAACAGGAAACACAGCTCTTAAACTAAGTAGTGTTTCCAATACCATATATTTTGGATTTACCTATTCTTGTTTCTTATGCTATAACGAGTGGTAGCACATACAGTGGACTGATAGCATTTCAAAATATTAGCCTTTTGGTATTCCCCAAGCAATATAATGAGACCTTCACTCATCTAAATTTCCACCTTACAGAGTCTTAAGTGACAGAGAAGAAACATTTGTTTTATTAGTATATATTGCACTAATGAGACCCAGTGTACATGTATATTTCCAAGCCACTTTACTGTTTGAACGTAAGCATACAGATTGAGAACGTTCATCACATAGACTTGTGATATTCACCTGCTTTCCACTGAGCTGATAGAAGGAGAGCTTCTGACCCCAGTCTGCCACAGCCAGAATATCATTGTGCTCATCCCTGTGAAAAAACAACAAAATTACTCCTTGTCAACATATTGTACTGAAGGGGCTTTGTTGGTTTAGGTAATTATGAAAGCGCTAATGAGAGTAGAGAGCCCACCCTTCAACTAAGGGACATATGGTCAAGCCCTTTCCTCTATCAAAGGAAAGGAAAGGTTTTTTTAACCTTAACAGATTTAATTGTATACCAGGAGACAGTATTGCACTTACCTTTATTATTTTTATATGTACCTTTATATGTACCATCTATGCCCTGAAGAATTCACCCTGTCGAAGCATCCATGAGCAAGACAATGAATCCCTAGCAGCTCAAGAGACACCATTCCCTGGCTGATCTGACCTCCCTGTGATGACCAATCATATTTCCTGTAGAAACCCAATAATAATATATCTGGTGCATCTTGTCATTGAGTCTCATCACTGCTATCTTCTCCTCCACGCTTGCAACATTTCATCATCCTGTCTGCCCTTTACTCTTAAATAACCTGTTCAGTAGTCCACTGTAGTGGCTATAACCTTGCACCTTGCTTTGGCTACAGAGGGCATCAAGGAGGAGAGATAACTACTCCAAGCCATCATACGGCTCTCCTTCACAGAAACAGTCTTACCATTCCCTGGTTGACCACTGCCACCTGCTGGCCCCTTACAAGCTATTGACTTAAAATGCAATGTAGTCTCAATAGCACATCATTATATAGAATCTTGGGAACATGGATGGACAAAGAACAAGTTTATGTGGCAGTGTGAGGCATTAGCTTGACTAAATTGTTGAAGGTGAGATAGCAGTCTGTTTTTCTACTAACTTAGAAGGGTTCCAGGCAATGGACCAGATAGGAGAGGAGGAGCCTCCTGGACGCTCTATCTTGACTTTCTCCTCTCCGTTCTTGTTTCGTATGCTCACTACTCCATTCATCATGCCAAGTGCAAGGTATTGGCCATCGTTTGTCCACCTGCAGTCAAATGAGACCCTTTAATATAAATGTGTCATGAGAGTGTACCGCTGTTGCAAATAGTTACAGTTAAAGACTTAACTTACCCACAACATGTTATTTTGCTGCTAACTTTATGTTTGTTCACAGATTTTTGCTCAGGTGACCAAAGCCCTAAAAATGGAAAAGGTGCTCAGATGATCAGTGCTCCATGTGGGCTTTCTCTCTTCTGAATAGTTTTATAGTATATTATGTACAAAACTTTAAAATACAGAACAGAATTACATCCATGGTGCACTCACCAAAGTCCCCAGAAGAGCAGGAGGCAAGTTGGTGAGTGACAGGGTTGTAGGCAACACACTGGATAGAGTCATTGTGACTATAGATAAAGACATGAAAAAATAAAAAGAGTTTTGGAGGAATACACACTACAGAGGGAGCATTAGTATTAAAGTGATGAGCAAGAGAATGACACTTACGTATATTTTAAAATACCCTCCAGTTTAGATGTCCAGATGATGATACTTTTGTCTGCTGACCCAGAGGCAAACCTTTTACCTGCAGAAGAATGTAGTGGTTAATAAGATAACACTGATGACTGATGAAGGAAAATTTTGTATATAAATGGAAATTCTGTTGAGTACCATCTTTGGCATAGGCCACACAGTACACTATGTCTTTGTGTCCTTTTAAAGGCTGGATAATAGATCCATCTGCTGCGTCCCAAACCTGAAAAAAATAGATAAAATAAATTAAATGTAATAAAATACGTGTTTTCTTTAGATGTCTGCATTTCTTGGCCAACGAAAACAGGTAAGCCTTACAAGGACACGATGCCCTGCAGCAATGATGAGTTGGCTACCATCTGGCTTGAAGGCAAGGTCATAAACACTGCAAAAGAGAATAATGGATTTGTTCTGAAATGGTTTTTCAGTCAGTTGACCAACAACAACAAGGAAACATGTTCGTAAGTTCCAGCTTCTCAAACGTGAAGATTTGCTGCTTTGCTCAGTTTCTTTAATAATTTGGGCAGGACTTCCCTTGGCAAATTACATATTTTGTTGTTTTTTGTAGTGAAATAAAGTATATTTAACTCTGCAGCAAACAGACATTGAAAAAAATGTGATGCACTATTACTTTTTATTTCATGAAGTTACAGAATAGAAAGACTTTCTATTCCTGATATAGGAATTTTCATCTACTCTTTCTGCAGATCACTCTAAGTTCTGAAATATTTTTAAGATGTCTTGTACACACAGCGTGTTTGTATTTACTCATTTGGCAGACGCGTTTATCCAAAGCAAACTACAAGTGAGGGACATCTCTACCCACAGATTTTCAATGATCGTCAAAGTCAAGACTGTGAGGGCCGTTCCATAAGCTTTAGTTTGTGGTTCTTGATGTAGCACATGGTGGATTTTGAAGTGTATGTATAATGAATGTATAAGCCAGCCTCTTTTCAGTTCCACTTTCTTGACTGACTGCATGCCATCTACCTCCAGTATTTGCTGTTTAATTTCTTTTTCTACTGTTTCAAAAGTTCATGAGATCAAAAGTAACAGTAACATTAGAACATTTAAATGTCTGTTTGTCACAGGGGTTTACTATTTTTGACTTCAAAAGACAGGCAAGTGTTACTTGCCTGTTTGCAAACAACTGTAGAATAAGTGAAAAATAACTGACAGATAAATAAAATCTGAAGCCCCACAGCCCTATCAATACGTCACTGTTTTGTAAAAACACAGAATTAGTTGATAAAGCAAATAAAGCTGACTGTTCATTTTACAGCCTGTTATCTTGAGTTGACAGAGGTATAGATAACTTCATATTTTATATACATTCGTACACTACGTTATTCACATCAAGCAATGGTGTGCAGCAACAACCAAGACCTTACTGTTCACGAGAGCTAGTTAGCTCCGACCTAATGTATCCTGTTTCAAAAGAAAGCTGACAATCAACACTATTAATAGGAAAATATTTTTTTGCATGAAAGCTTACATACAAAAAATACAAACCGGCTTCGGCATCACCCTCATTTATCACCGATAATCAAATTGCTGGGGGGCTAATGCTAGCTAGCTGGTTAACCCTAGTTGACATAGCAACCGCCGTTGCTAACCACCTAGCGTTACATCCCAGCACAGAGCATACGCTGACAGCGAAAGATAAATATCCAGACTCTTACCATTCACTTGTTTCTTTCCATGCTAGAACGGCTCTCATTTCCACCTTTTCACACAAACCGATGTTTTTATCAACAGGTTATTGTTGTTTGAGCAATCGTTTTTTCATACTAAGCTCTGTTTCCAAGAGTCGTTCGCACTGCGCAGACTCGCATTCCGTGTTGCCAGATTTGACTAGCAAGAAGTATTGATGTTCTCAGGCAAGTTCTCCACTTCTGTTTAAGTGTCTACAATTTCTAAGCAGTTTCATGGACGTTTATTTGCGATGGACATCAGAAACTATTGTATCCTCAGAAAGTATAAATCCCACTGGATCAAAAAACGTTTGCGTATCAAATCAGATTTGAGTGAGGTATGAGTCAGATTTACACAAAAGCGTAATTTGTTTGTTTTTTTCAATCATGCACCTGTGCCTCTCACCTCAAACTGTATATTTGCATAACGTCTCTCAGTTTACAAGTCTCTGGACTGCAGTCCAACAGTTCGTAGCTGAAAAGCTGGAATGGTACTAAAACGTAACCCAGATTATAACCCGCCCAAATAAAGACACGTTATCCCAATATGGCGGAAAAACCGTTTAATCTGGCAACACTGCTCGGGTCTAGTCGCTACTTCCTGTGTACAGAGCAAGCGGTTGTGTTTGCCTGAACTAGACCTCCACTCCGTTGATGACATGTTGACAGAACCAGTCTCCACATTTGTCCTACACGGCTTTAAGAAAGGAAGGAATTCGAGGCTGAGCAGTATTCATGTATGTCATGTCAACCCTTGAATCAGTCTGTTACATTAACATTTTGTGCTTTGTTGCTTATCATGTCTACAGCCAAATCTAACATGCATGATATGTGTTGTGGTGATACTCTCTTGCTTTATATGATACCGAACAATGTAGATGTCATGTTTGCGTTGTTGTTGTAAATTCTAGGTAACCTAAATCCACCACTTTAGAATCCACGGCTGTCTCACACGGGCTCAGAACCAACAACACACCTCTCAAAATGCATCCTACTAGCCGTGACATCCAGCTGGAGACCAGTGGAAACATAGATAACAAAAGTCATGAGGATGGTAATGATTTGTGCCACACTTCCATAATGCCCCCTGGCTGGATCAGGGAGGTGAGGCAGAGGAAAGCAGGCAAGACAGCAGGCAAACTGGACGTCTACATTACAAGGTGACTGTTTTCTTGTAATCCTCTCTGTACGTAATCATACAGAAAAAAACTAAATCAAATCAATATCAGAGATACACACACAGTTTTTCAAGGTACTTGGCAGGTATGCTATTCCAATATTATTTACCACAGTTGCTCTGTGGATTTAGTCTCTCTCACTGTCTTCTGTCTCTTCATGTAATCCCAGACTGACTCCATGATGTTGAGGTCAGGGCTCTGATAGTATTGTGTGATGGATAAAAATCTTATCAGATAATGTGCTTAAAACTTGCATTGCAGATGCAGTGAGATCAGAGTCTAATGATCTTTCTGTTGTTTTAAGTCCTGAAGGGCAGAAGTTCCGGTCAAGGGCATCCCTGCACGCTTTCCTCCTAAAAAACAGAGAAGGGAACTTAGACATAAACCTTTTTGATTTCACCACATCCAAGGATGATGTCATCACCACTTCACAAATATTCCCCTCCCAAATGAAACAGAAGAGAACAAAGAAAAAACATGCGGACGGACAGCAGGAGACAACCCAAGATGCAACAGAAATTCTGGATCCACCGCCACATAAATCTAAAAGAGCGTCTAAAGAAGAAACTGTAAAGAGTGCAGATGATAATAACCATATTAATACTGACGTTTTAATAGAGGTTTTAGAAGTGTGTAGAGACAAAATGGATGAGGCTGTGAAATGCTGCAAACAAGCTGAGCCTTCAGCAACAGTGGATGATGTCAAACTGCAGAACAGCCCTCAGAGAGTCGGGCTGAGAGAGAAGCTTCTCCGACTAGCTCCGTCTAGAAAACAAAAAAACACTTCCTGTGTTCATGAGGACAAAGAGGCAGAGTCACACCCTTCTGTCCCGACTCTGAATGTTGAACCTGCCACTGAGAGCGAGAATGAAGGTGAGGATGAACAAGGTGCAGACGAGAAACAGATTCACAGCAAAGGCGACAACAGGGAGGAGGTGTTGTTACCTGACATCACTGGCAGTAGCTGTACACCAGTGAGAGATTCCCAGAATAGTAAGTATTATCTACACTGTCTGACAGCTTTCGAAAAGCATCAGCATAGTTTTCCCTGATTCTGATCTTTATTTTTATACATCTAATACAGTGCAATGCAATCAATACAGTCACATTTTTTATCGTATCATGTTGGTCTCCCTTTATACAGTTTCCAGAAACTTTCACATTTCCAGCTATAAATACATAAAAAAAATCAAAACCAAAAACTTAAAAGTGGCACAAATAGCCCTCTAAAAAGAAAAAGTATACATGTAGGTGTCTGATAAAGAAGGAAAAGAGAAGAAGAGTCTGTTATTACAGAATATATGACATGTAAGTACTTTCAGGGAGTATGGAATTGACTGAAACCTTATTGCACTAACAGGACCATTACAGGACTCTCTTAATAAATGTGTTTGTTTTTTTTGCCCTAGTTCATGTGTGATTTGCTCCATCAGATGGGGTTCCCATACTATTTGAATTTATCATTTGTATGAGACAGGATCAGGTTTCAACCTCGTCATTGTAATATGGTGTCCAATAGCAGGATTTGAACAAATAGATTTTAGCCTCCCATTTCTCTTTTATTTATAAAATGTTATTGGACAGAAATATTTGATATAGATTGGAGATTACTTAATGTCCTCCTTTTTTTACTTTGCAATCCTATAAGGAACTGTTCTATTGGAGTGAGGTTTTTAAAAACATTAACCATGCTGATGTGTGTTCTTTTTTATATACTGTACATAAATGTTTCCTCTCTGCCTAGAGTCCAAGGGCTTGGAAGACAAACGGAAAACGAGCCCTTATTTCAGCGGGAAACACTTTAAAGATGGTAACATTTGAATGATTCATTTGATACAAGAAGCAAAGAGAAAGCTTGTGTATATTTGTTTGTGGGACATACACTTCAGCATTTATGAAATAAAGTCATGTTTGGTTTGAGACATGTACACTGTCCGTACTCAGGACTTAGCCCTCCCAGGAGGAAGGTCTTCAAGAAGTGGACCCCCCCCCGTTCTCCATTCAACCTTGTACAGGAAACCCTTTTCCACGACCCCTGGAAGCTCTTGGTTGCCACCATTTTTCTGAATAAGACCAGTGGTAAGACCCAACAGACAGATATTGCAGAAACCTTGGATGGTGTACCAACCAGTACTCAAGCATGGCATTTCACTGTTTTTTTTTTTTTTTTCCCCAATACTCCAGGCAAGATGGCCATTCCTGTACTGTGGCAGTTCTTTGAGCGTTACCCATCCGCAGAGGTGACCAGGCAGGCCGACTGGAAGCCCATGTCTGAACTTATGAAGCCACTTGGCCTGTATGAGCTTAGAGCCAAAATACTCATCCGCTTTTCAGGTGCCTGAAGAATGTGCCTGTCTACTGTACCTGATGGATGACAGTATCCATGCCTGTTTACATGCAGTTTACCTGCACAATTACAGTGTGTTGTAACGGCAGATTTGTATGGTTTTATTCAGAATATACAAATCAATATCAGTGGCCATAAAAACCTCAAATTGCATTTTCTCCTGTCTAGATGAATATCTAGCTAAACAGTGGCGTTACCCCATCGAGCTGCATGGTATTGGGAAGTACGGCAACGACTCCTACAGGATCTTCTGTGTGGAAGAGTGGAGACAAGTGAGTATAATCCCAACTATTCTACTTTCAGTGGATTACATCAATGTTCATTAATGGCAACTCTTTATTTTTATTTCAAAGGTGACACCTGAAGATCACAAGTTAAACAAATACCACGCTTGGCTGTGGGAGAACCATGAAAACCTTGGAATCTGAAACACAAAGTACAAGGAACTGCAAAGAAGACTTGTTGTAACACACAAAGAAAACAATTATATCACGTAGACACTGCACTGTCCAGCTATACTATCATGATGATGAACTAGCACTGTTAAACCTGAATCGCCTTCGAAATTATGCAGTGATACTCTGGAAAAAACATTGTTAACGTTTCTTTAAAAAGTTTTACTCAGTTTATAATAAAACTTGAAAAGTTGAAATGATTCATGGGTGAATTATTCAGTCAGTCTTCTGGCTGGGTTTCTTGTGCCATCCTTTTACACATAGATGACAGCCAAAGACTTCTTCTGACTGCATCAGGTTAGTCCATTGTCACAGGCTAATAATCTGACTTGTTGTGTGCACTGATGTATGACTTTACACTCCACACAGCAGCTTTCTTTTGTGGGGTGGGGTGGGAGGGGGTAACCTGATTCCCAAGGCAACTGTTGCCACCGCAAAACACTCAATGAATGCACAGGCATGTCATGGTTTAATCTCTAACTAGTGCCAGTACAGTAATTTGTTATATTTAGATTCGGAGTTATGATTTCATGCTAATAGAATTGCAACTTTTAAGAAGAAAATAAAATCGTGCAGGATTTTACACCTAATTCCACGCAAAGACTTGACCTCTCTGGCGGGAAAACAGAAGAAACAGCCTGAACTACAAAATGAAACTACGTGAGAAAACAAGCTTTCTTTTTCCATTTGTTGACTATTATAATGTTACTGTTAAACATGTTAAACATGCTGTGATGAACTTTATTTCAATCTTAATTATCACAGCAGCCATCTCTATAGCTTCCACACCGCTGTGTATTCCTCATGACACACCTCCTGTGCGGCAGAGTCACAGTCTGGTGGTCACTCCCATGACATTTCCCATCATCTCAGATTCTGCCCGGCTGAGGACAAGCAGTCAGGTGCACATAGATTCATTGACTCTCCATTTCATTGTGTGACTCTACTCTTGTCCCATGGGAATATGTTTGCTTTGAGGTAATAAAAAAAAAAAAAAAGAAAGAAAGAAAAACTTAATAAATCTGCTCTCTAGAGTATTCCAAGACTGAACCCTTTACATCCACCACTGGTCCATAAACGCACCGTCAGCCTGGAGACACCAGTTGTTCACCACCATAACCACCAGAGGACACTGATCTTGCAGAGAAGGGAACACTACAGGTAGGACCACTTGGTAATCTCACTGTGATTGACTTTTACTGAGAAGTACTCAAAAAGTCACATAATCACTTGCACCAATTCCATCTTTGCTTTAAAGTCAAAGTTCAAAGTCACTGACTTGTAGTTGCTTTGCCAGGTATCATCAAGTGTGGCGAAAACCCTTTTATGGAAGCAGCAGTGAAAGAGAAGAATACAGGTAAAAGTATGAATACCTTCACTTGACATCCTGTGTTGATGAGTCTTTTTATCCTCTAAGTCTAAAAGAAAAGTCTTTCTTTGTCCTGTAGGAAAGAGCTGAGAGATCAATTAAAGAGGCAGATAGAGGAGAAATGTGTATCACTGAAGTTGCAGCTGGCCAGTAAAGTGAAGGAAGCAGAGTTTGTACGTGAAGTGGACCGCCTCGCCCTGTCCAGTGAAAGAGAACAAAGGATCCAGCACAAAAAAGCAATGACAGCGTACAGAGATGAGAACAAGAAGGTACAGCCCCACACATACATTATACAGTATATCCACTGCTAATGCTTTTGTGCTGACGCCACTCATAATAGTGTCCTGAAAAATGCTTCAACATGATCTCAGGTTACAACAAAATACATAGGGAGCATTTGAGGTTTTTCTCTTGTCTATGTTGTGTGTGTGTGCAGCTGATGGAGCAGAGCTGGCGGGACAGAGCACTAACACGGTCCCAGGAGGTCCAGAAGGAGAGAGAGCTGCTGCGCCTCAACCCCATTAACTGGAGTGGAACACTGAAATAGGTTCAACCTCAACATCCAGAGTCAAAAGTTTCGGGTCGTGCTAATGCACTTGGGCATGCATGCCTGATGAGAATGAAACACAACATACAGTATATAGTGCTTGTAATTAATGTGGTGATAGCCATCAAAGGAACTAAAGAGGGATAATTCTACGGTTTTATAATCTGAACATATAAGAATGTATTTCCAATCCTACAGTAAATTTTAAGACTTAAAGGAGTATAATTTAGTGCTGAACTTCTGTGACATTATCAGATTTTAAATCAATGCTACATAACCCACAGTGCAACCCGACCACCAACAGTTCTGTTGGGAGATTAAGGTGTGTTATTTTAGTAGCAGCTAAAAGATCAGAGATTAGGAAGAGATGAGGAACAGGCTACAGAGGTCTGGTACACTCATTCCTTTCTAACGCTACATCCTCAGATTTTTTTCTCTGAAGCTACAAAGAACTACATTCTACTTTTTTAATATATGTGCTGTTGTACTCCCCAAGACATACAAACAAGCTTTGATGTGTAAAATCCCCTTTAAGGGTTTCTGCAACTTTAATTTATGATGCAACACGTAATTGTAGAAAATAATTTTCCACAAGGTAGAGGGTTTTTCTCATTATGTTTATGTAAAGGACGGAGGATGCTTAAAAAATGAAATAAAAATTCTAATAAAAAACATGAGGAGTGACAAACTTTTATTGTAAAGCAAACATTTACACTTAACAATGACTATGGACAACCTTCCACCACAGGAAAACCAAAGATAAGTAGATGGACGGATAAGAAGTGATGCTTCAGTGGCCTTTCAACATGATGCTACTATACCTGCTAGAATTACAATTAAATAGATTTAAAAAAACTGCATTGAAAATGCACACAAAAATGCACAGAGGAAATGTCAAGAGCAAATTATGATAAACATTTCCCCAATAAATATTGCTTTCAAAATAAATTAAAGGCAACAGAAAATGGCTTGCATCGTCAAGATTAGAGCTGGTATTTACCTAAGCACTAAGTGGTCAATAGCAGTAATGTTTGTGATCCAGCAGTTGTTAAAAGTCAGTCTTCCATGCCAAAGTAAGACAAATCAATAGATGCAGTGTAGTACCGTTCCTTTCAATTCCTATTATCATGCAGTATTACTAAAAAGAACCATTCAGGAGGTAAGGAGATAAAAAGTTCTGTGAACATAAATAACAAGTGGTTCATAATGGAAATATCCCAGAGTTTCAATGAGCCTTCTCTTTGGGCTGATATGGAAAATCATCTAATTATCTAATCCCATGCCCCTAGCAAAAAGCTGAAGTGTTAACCTGACAGTCAAAACCAACATACCATTCAAACTATGGGAAAAGCTCCGCTTCACAGCATTGACATGGTGAAAAACGATGGACATGATGACTGGAGGTTTTGATTGTGTGGAAGAAAACGACATCATTTCTCGAGCAACATCGAGGCCAGATGGAACATCCAAATGCATAATCGATTTGAACAATCAGTAGTGGTCTTCATGTCACCCTTGTTCCCAACAAAGTTGAGGTAGGGGATTGAGTTCTTTTACATCAGTGCAGTGTAGCCTTGTTATTTCCCTTTCAACATTTAAGGCTTATTCCATAGCCTTAAAGTTCTCACTTTTTCCTGCGTTATCCTATTCATTAACATAAATGAACCCAAGCCCTTTCAAGTAACTCCCCAAACCAAAATAAATCCCTGAAAGACGAGCATTGTAGGGATAGTTTCCTGCCCCAGTCGAGTCTTGTTCACTTTTACTGGCTGGTATTCCATGGTCCTTGTATTAAATCATGGCTACAGACAGTCTAGCGCCCCTTCAGGAATCCATCCAGCATGTAGTCTCCCTTTTCTGTCAACCAGTATCCAGCCATAGCAGCCACGCCTCCAATGAAAATGGCCGTGAAAACCATGTCACCCTTAGCGGCGAGCGTAGCTAGGGCACAGATTACAACGCCAAAGAACATCTGCTGCAGAACAAGGACCTCATCATCTGTCATGTCATCAAACAGTCCCTTCTCTGGGCCAGCTGAGGAGGTACAGGAAAAGAAAATTATCCATCAGTTCTGAGAAGATGTCAACAATATATCTTTTTGCATATTTACTACTGCGACTACATACCAGGAGGCTTATTCTCAACACAAATGCTGTCTCTTCTGATGAAGCCTTCGGCACAGTCACAGTGGAAGGAGCCTTCCTCATTGATACAGGCCTCATTGAGTCCAGGGCATGCTATTGCACGTTCACTACATTCATCTACATCTGTGCCAGGAAGCAAAGAAAGAAAGGTCTAAGGACACCAGAGGTATGTAAAGAGGTAAACTGTATACAAATTTAGGAGCTCAGAAGAGTATCCTTACCAAGACACTTGGCTCCTTTCAATCTGTAGCCACGTGCACATTTCTTACAGCGGGCAGGACCACTACCCATGCATCCTACACATGCCTGGTCACAGCCTGGACACAGCAAAATTACAGTGGTACAGTAGATTTGCTGCTTTTCTTTGTCATATACATGATAACAGTAAACTAAATGTCTTTGGGTTTTGTATTGTTATTTGAGTAAAACCAGAAATTTGACATTATAACAGGTATTTTAATCAATTTAAACGTTCAGTAAATTACACGAGAGAGCCTACCTCTGCATTCATAAGATCCATCCGTGTTGTGACAGTACGTGTTGGAAGGACAACGAGCCAGCTCTGTACCACACTCATCAATGTCTAAAAGACATACAAAAGCAGTCAGACAACACATATCCAACAAACTGGCACAAAGTCAATGACTCCATGACCTCTGAAGCCACACTCACCCACGCACTTGTTGTCATGAAGGATCCATCCCGGTTTACAGTCAAGGCATTTGTAGTCCTGCGGCCCTGAGCATTTCTTACATGAGTGATAGCAAGCTACAAAGGATGAGAGACACGGAGACAGCGAGGCAGTCAATTTCCGACGACCTCAAACCGAACTCAATACATGTAGAGGGTTCAAACAGTTGTCTGAATCTGAGGCACCTGCACAAGCTCCTGCGCTGTCATTGGAGCTTTTCTCTCTGTAGTAGCCATCAGCACAGCTCTGGCACAGACGGCCCGAGTATCCAGGATCACAGACACACTCTCCATCTCCCAGGCGAGTCCCCTCCCCCTCGCAGCGGCCCAAACCTCCACACACACCACCAGGGCCTGATGGACACTCTGTATCGGATGAACATGCTATCAGTGGTACTCCGGTAACTGGATTCTAATTAAAATCATTTCATCTTACATCTTGATGAAATTAAAATCATTTGTCACATGGGACAACAATGGATAAATTAGGTCTGGCATGGTAAGGTTTTCAAACTGACATCAGATCAGCTTGTAACTTGTGCTAAATGCTTAATGTTTTCCTCACCTTTGCAATCAGGTCCAAAGTGTCCAGGTGGACAGCAGAGTCTCAGCTCCTCTATGCACAGCCACTCAAACAGGTCTGGTGCCTCCTGCTGCCTACAGAACACATACATTATGTCAGTCATGGAGTTAAAACAGGTGCATGGCAATACACCTTAACAAGGCATAATTACACACACAGCTGGTGCCAACTCTGTCTCAATATAAAAATGTGTGTGATTAAAAACCTTTATTCTTATCCAAATTTAAGATACTCTTGTTACTTTGTTAACTTTATATTTTGATTTATATTTCTCAAAATATTCATAATTATTGATTCAAAATCAAAATTAACCAGATTTACAGAGGTTATGGTCTACTACATGACGCACACTAGCCTGGTTGTTCAGTGGTTCATATACTGTAAGTCTGGTGTTGTGCCCATTGACGGCTGTTTTTGCCAACTGGTGTGGATGACATTGACATCTGTACAGGTTTTTGGGATCCCACTTACAAAAAAAAAAAAAAACACCTCTTAAACACTTCAAAATGTCTTTAATTGTCCTGAAAAACATTAAGTGCTCCAAGCAAGCACTACCAAGGCTTCTGTGTTGACTGAAAGTGACGTCAGCAGGGTAGACGTCACGTGCAACTGAAGAAATCAGTCAACATAAACAGTGTCAGGCTCAGTGAAAAAGGTGAAACAAAATGGCAGTCCAGTGTGATTACCATGCTATGCACACACCACATTTACCTGTGGAACCACCATGTCTCCACTTGGTCCTCTATCTGCTCCAGCAGCCGGTTACATTCAAAATCTGTTTTCTCACAAGCAGCTTCTACTATCTCTAGGAGCCGAGTCTCACTAAAACAAGAAGCCAAAAATTAAGAGATGAAATGCAGTAGTTGAATAACAGAGCGGATACTGCGCCCCCCTCCGCCCACATAAAAATAGTGAAGCCTTGCTCTGGGACACAAAGGACTGTAACATTTAAAATAGACTGTCTTATGAAATCATTCACACATCACAAAATATAATACATGCGCAGAGAAGACAGGGCTGAATCACGTTATTCAGGATGGTTCCAGTGATACAAAGTCAGATTACAGTTGGAGTTGGTAATGTAATAATATGAATACATACAATTTGCATAATTTGTTATCTGTTATAATACCAGGCATTTACTGGCTGCACAATCCATTTAGATTTAGTAAATGAATGGGCATTTTTTAAATTTCAAGAATAAATTAAGTATAGGTGTAACTCCACTTAAAACTTGCTCTTACCTGCGTGCATACT